GGATCGTCTAAAAATTCATGAGAGACATTTTATGAATGACATGACGAAGTACAACATGGTTCCACAGTACATTGTTTTTGTATTGAAAGACAGAGATCTAGCAAATTTTGAAGGTGTGATAAAACACAAGAAAAAGGGTTTGAATTGGATTTTCAAAACTGAAAGCTTTTTGTGAAAATCAAACAAAGATCACAAATAGACTAATCAAGAAAGAAAGACACACAATATATTCTGGTTCACTTGAAATCTATCAAGCTAATCCAGTCCACCTGTCAAGGTGATTTTGCCTTATACACAAGAATTTAATCCACTATGATCAACTAATTACACTGCACTAGCAACCGCTGGTGACTAACAACATAGACAACCGTCTCTTCTTAAGGATTATGAACCAACCGGTCCCTTAAGGAAATACAATCTGCACAAGCAACCGCCGGTGACTAACAACAAAGACTAACTGTCTATTCTTAAGGATTCTGACCTAACTGGTCCCTTAAGGAGTTACAAACAACAGTTTGAACAAAGATGTTTACAATGAAATTGTTTCTACATAAGCAGATATAAAGACTATTAATAGCTCAAATATCTTAAAGACACTAATACAGTATGAACAATATTCTTTCTTTGTGTTGTGGTACTTCAATATTGTAGCTTCAACTCTTCATGGTTTGCTTTCAATAAAAATGTAACATTTGTATTAATTGTTGTAAAGCTTTTTAACTTCTTCAAGTAATCAAGTTCGTATATAGCTAGAAAAAGATCCGTTGGAGGGTAAATCAGGAATATCCTTTAGGTAGTTGGCGACTTGAAATAATGTCGTTACGTAGGGATGAAAATCATACACAAAAATTGTCCTTTGTACCACCAAATCAGAGTGGTGGAATGGTAGTGGAATGAAACGCTGAAACGTACTATGTACTATTTTCCCTTGTAAACGTTTGAGCTTCTCTTCTTTACATCAAAGGCTTTTGAATAGAAATGATTGAAGCATGAGTAGAAGATTTTATCACTAGGTCTTCAGAGTCTTGAGTCTTCAAAACTTGTTCACCAGAACCTTGTCTTCAGAACTATAAGCACTCAGTCTTCAGAACCTTTGGTCACTAGTAACTTAAGTCTTCAGAACTTCGTTCAGCAGAACTTTGTCTTCAGAGTCTTCAACACTTATTCTTCAAAAACTCAAGTCTTCAGAGTCTTATCACTTAGTCTTCAGAAGATAATAAATTCAGAAGCTAGAAAGCCTTCAGAAGTAAAGTATCAGAGTCATGATCAGAAGCAAAAACCAAGAGAGCATTGCAGCATCAACATATTGTCTTCTTAGAATCTTTCTGAGTGAGAGTAGATCAGAAGCAGAGTTGCTTCTTGTAACACACAAGCAATTTTAGTCAGATCAGAGTAATCGTTGAATATGATCTCTATCAGAGTCAGAACTTTCTCTGTCAGAGTCACAACCTGTTTGTTAATTCTTCAGAAAAACAAAAGTTAGAATACCAAAATTATTCTCATACAAATACTACTTTGTTATTATCAAAACTTAGAGATATCTTGCAGAATCAAATCTTGTTCTAATAAATTTCACATGTGTTATCCAAGTGTATAAAGTTAGAGCTACATACAGTGCGAGCAAGATAAGTTCATTGATAGAAATGCAAATGTTGTTGACTCTTATACATAGAGAAAAATATATGTGTTTGACAAGAAATAGGAAAGACTCAAATGTTGTTGCTGATATCTTCTGGACACATCCTTATTCAGTGAAGTTGTTGAATATGTTTCACTTGGTGTTGATTTTTTATTGTACATACAAGACAAATAGGTAATGTACATTGTAAGCATACCCTGAAATCATTTTGAAATACTATGATTTATCAGATTTTTGATTTTTGCATCGTGACCATATAGGTATCGACTACCACTCTTTGAGATTGTTGGGGTTATGTCAACAAAATTGACGTTTTCGGTAAGCTTTGCTTATTTAGAACATGAAAGGGGGGAAACTTCAAATGGGAACTGGAGAAGCTCAAAAAGTTATTCTCTTCCGAGAAATTGTTACCGAATATTGTAGTGACGGACCGAGAACTTGCGTTGATAAATTCAATTGAAGTTGTGTTTTCGAATTCAACACATTTATTATGTTTATTTCATATTTCAAAAAAATGTTAGCATGAAATGTAAATAGTATGTTAAACCAGAAATACGTGAACATGTCATGGATCTATGAAACAACATCATTTATGCTAATAGAGAAACTGAATTTGACGCACACTTGAAGCAACTTGAGACTGTTTGTGCTTATATTCCTTTGTCTGTTAAGTATGTGAGTGAAACATGATTGACACCTTATAAAGAAAAGTTTGTTGTTGCTTTGACAAGAAGAGTCACTCATTTAGGTACACGAACTTCTTTTCGATGTTATTACTAAGCATAATATATCATTTTGCCTCATTATGATTTAATTATTGTGATTTAGGATGAATTCTACTCATGGAGACTAAAAAACATGTTAACTACAAGCTGAGGAGATTTATGCCGAAGTTGGGATGTTGTGAACACCATGTTAAAGTTGCAGCTAGGTTCAATCAGGGTGTCTTTTCAAAAAAAGTATTCTCAACATTGAGCATCATTACAACACTCTATTCTATACCAACTTACACGATTTTGTTTTAAGGTAGTGTATACAACACATAGGGAAGGAGCTAGAAAGGGTAAAATTTGTTGGTACAAGCAAAGATGCTTGTGGTTTCTTCATTAGAACTACACATGAGTTACTTTGTGTGTGTCAACTTGTCGGTTTCCAAATATAAGGCTTACCTGTTTCTTTAGAACCAATTCATGTTTTTTGTAAGAAATTACACATTGAAGAGCATGCTGACGGTCATGACGATAGTGGCACAAAGTTGAATTTAGAAGCAGAGTGTGAAAAGTTGAAGATATATTTCAATTCTTTGGATATTGTAGGCCAGAGGGTGTTGAAGAAAAAGGTTCGGGAACTAACACATCCATCCACAAATTGTATGTGTCCACCGCCGGTGAAGTACAAGCCAAATAGGGAAGTTAAGAAAAGCGGAAAGGGTGAAAAGAGTGATATGCATCGTGACCCTTCATAGTGGGAGCTCGTTGGGGAGTCAGACTACAAAGAAACCATGCACGAAACAAACAAGAAATCAACCTTCAAGTATGTCTGGTCAAAGTCAATCGTCTAATACATCTTCAAAGCATCTTTACTTGTCTCAGTTTCCTGATTTCTTGCATCCATACATCGATGACATTGTTGATGTGTGTGACGATGGAAATTGTGGTTTTCGGACTATTGCAGCTTTACTTGGATGGGGTGAAGAGTCATGGTCGTTGGTCCGGATGCAGTTAGATACTCAAGTTCATCAACACACTAAATTATTTTTGAACTTGTTCTATGACACAGTCTCTAAAATTAGAAATTCCTTAAAATTATAACACTTGGGTGTGCATGGTCGAGATAAATGGATGACGATTCCTAATATGGGTTATCCTATTACATGTAGATACAATGTTGTATTTGTGTCCCTACCACAGAGCTTAACATTACCTTTTTTCCTCTTATCATAGCTCCACCTATGTATACGAGCAGACATAAAATCATTGTTGTTGGTTTTGTCAACAACAATCTTTAAGTTCAGGTAAAATTGAAACCTGATAGTCCATTGCCTTCGTCACTGACCGTTGAAGACAAAACTCTACTGAAGATGTAAAAGCATGTGACTCAGCATATACTGGACAAATTAGGCACTGGGAGGATGAAGTTAGGAAGTCATCCTAATTTGCTATATAATCTTGTGGATAATATATATCTATTATATGTGATGAATTTCTTATGGAACCATTTATGCATGTCGTTGTGTCAAAAACATTGAATTATTATATTTTTGAGAAATTCTTGGTTCATATTTGAAATTTTCAGTATAATGAAAATTTTAAATTTCTCAAATTTGGGACATCAAACGTGAATTTCATATATTTTTGGTATAACTCTTTCGAAAATTTTAAAATTTCCGATATAATTTCATCGGAAATTTCAGATGTGTGTCTCACATAAACGGTATATTATCAATTCAATTCCGATTCGAACTCAAAATCTTGAGAGGAGCACGTTCTCAAAACCCAACATCACTAGACCAATTCTTGGGGTTATGTCATATCTTAAGTTAACTGATCATGTATTCCTCGTCTCATAAGAAATTCTCCACATTGCACTGTACTAATTTGTCCATTTATTTTGCATTTTCAATTAAAGTGAAGCTTGTTATTATTATTATTATTATTATTCTTTTAAATTTGGTAGAAGACTTGTATATTGCAGTTTGATTTATTAATTTGACCCTCAAACTGGAAATACATCATTTGATAATATATATTGTTCAAAATATCAGAATTGGCTATAACATGTTAGATGATGCCAAAGAGAATGGAGCAATTACGCCGGGAAAGGTATGTTGTGAAGATTTTTTGGTTATCTAAAAAATTCTGGTATTATATGATGTAATGATTTGTTCAAAGCTGTTGATTCTTGGATTTTCTTTAACTTCCTGATTCTGAGTTTCCGCAGACTGTTTTAGTTGAACCAACAACTGGAAATACCGGACTTGGCCTTGCTTACTTATGATTTGTGAAGTTTCATCACACAGTATGTGACAGATTAAAATTAGTATGTAGCCGCTGTAGGTATTTTAATCATTGAAGGTTTTGTATCAGATGCGTCCGTTTGGACAAGAAACTATATATCTACACCCAAAAAAATGAACACTTACGGTGTCAGTGCTTAAGATTTTTAGATTAAAAATATCTGTGCAGCTGCTACAATCTACAAAATATGTTTGTTCAAATGAAGAACAAAAGAAGTTTTCATTGTATTCTATGAGTCCTTAGGTATGAACACTACAATGTCAATGTCACTATGAAAATCACAACTATATTGTATATAAAAAACATTCTTGCATTCTAAAATCAAAATCTCATGTATGATAATATCACCAAAAATCAGCTGGTGCTGGTATAGATTTATGCCCCATATCTTTATTATTACCAAGGGACCTAAAAAATCTCCTAGACCTGTTTGTTTTCAACTTCATCAATGGAACCTTACGCGAAACAGCTTGCCAAATCATTTGAATAGCATCGCTTTCTTTAGAAGGGAACTGAAAATCAAAGAATTTTTCAACTTCTTTCAGCCTGTTCCACATTCTTGTCCATTCATCTTTGTCAATACTCCTAATGAAGTTTATCAGAAACTTCTTTCTGAGGGCGTCTCTTGTGCGAACGAATATGCAGAACTCTGAGTAGTCGAGGACATCCTCGTATGGAAGCTCAATTTGGTCACTGATTATGACAGGGACACAGTGACTTGCAATGGCGTCGAATAACCGATTTGATGATGGTGTGTCGCCTGCTATGTTGAGACAGAATTTTGAAGAACGCATGCCTTCTGTTGCTTTTCTTATTCCGCCTTTCTGTACACTTCCAAATGAAAAATGTACATCTTTTTCGTCTTTCAGAAGATAAAACAGTTCTTGCCTAGCATGGCCTCCCTGTGCATGAGAAAAGCTCAAGTTCAGTACAATTAATTGTTTTGTAAGCTAAAAAAGAAGTTACATGGAAAACAACATATCAGGATAATTCTCAAAAACGATATGTTGAACCTAAGGTGTATATATGGTAGCACCATGTGGGATCAACTACATGGATCAAGTTAAGCCATAATGTTTTATCAAAAACCATGTTTCTCATCAATTCGTTAATCTCGATATCTTCTCAATAGTTTCGCTTATAGTTTTTCTAAGTCTTTCTCTACCTCTAATTATTTGACTCCTCTCCATCTGATCTAACTTAAGAATTTCAATCAGGACGTGCAAAGACTTAATTCACATCAAAGCTAAAGAAACAACAAAACCAACATATACATGAAATGAAAAAGAAAGAGGAACAAAACATACATCTTTTCTGTAAATAGCTCCTTGGAAGTAAAGCAAAGTTTTCCTGCTATAAAAGCTAGATTGATCATCAACATAAGAACCAACAACATGCTTATAAGGCGCAATCACATCTTTCGCGACATTCGCTACATTCGGAGGATACCTCCCGAAATCAGACAATATAAAAGTTGCAGGCCAGAGCTTCATTCTAGCATCCAACATACTATTAGGATGATGGGCCAGAATCAAATGATCCCTGCCACCAGACCTTTTCCACTCCTCTTGATTCATCAAATACCTCACCAAATTCTCTTGTAACACCCGGTTTCTACTCTTCTTTTCATGTGGACCTGTTTTGGAGAGTCTGTTATAACTGAAAGAAGAAAAAAACGGCACAAATATTACATCAGCATCCGTCGAGTTCTTAACTCTGATTACAGTTCTAGTTTTGTTAGGGTAAAGTTCTGGTAATTCTGAAGCTAGAATATCTAATGTTAGCCAATACTCAATACTGTGTTGCAAATTCAAACCACCCGGGTATCTTGGTACGTTGGTTTTCATATCAGGAAAGACATTTTTGTTTTTCCCATTTCCGTCGTCGGTTTTCCAATCTAATAATCCGAAATGAAACTCCGAAGGTAAATCATACATGAACACCTTCAATAAAAAATTGTTGCTATAGTTACTGTTGTCATTCGACATGGTGGTGGTGTGGCTGTTGCATTTTAGAATGTAGGGTGTTTGTTTTTGTTTTTTGGTGTTAACGAGAATGGCTCTGTTGCTGAAGGAAGATTCTGAGTTTTGCGAATGAAATGATTCCGAGAGGAGCTCAGAAATAACTTCCGATGTAGAATCGGAGCGAGTTGAACGGAGAACGAAAAGCCATGACATGATGAACAACAACGTCGTTGTTGTGAAGAAAAAGCATAAGGATTTTCTTGAAACAACCTTAATGGCAGAAGCGTTTCTCTCTGGCATTGTAATTGCATCCCAAATGTGAGATCAGAATCTGTTGGTAATTTACTTTCTTATTTGGACCCACATTTGTTCATGGGTGTTTGGGATATTCAGGCATAGCGTGAGCGTGTGGGACCATGGTGATTAGGGAAATTAGAGAGAAATGATGGTGTGATTGTTTTGTGTGTGACACAGTGTGTGAGTTGGAAAGGTGGAAGAAGAAGAAAGCGTGAGAATAGGGTCTAACCGTGGAAGCGTTCTATTCTCTCGTAGTAGCTAAGAGGTTGATATGGTTTTAACTCTAATATTCATTTTTCATGTTTTATCATAACAATATCAATCGTTAGCATTTTTTAAAGTTGCGTTACTAACTATTATTGTTCATAAATAAAAGGGTGTAACGTGAGCTCAATGATCTCATATTAAGGGAAATACTAATATCACACTCCACCCATATAAGGAGTGTGCCCCTCACATCTAAACATTCAAAAATATTTTTATTGATATTTGAAAATAGCAAAATAAAATCTCGCCGAAATGAGAGTTTGTGTGACTTTAGGATAATCTCGTGTCTTTAATTTTTAAGATAAATTTGAATTTGCTTTCGTGTAAAACTCAATGAATTTATTGTAAACTATTGAAAACGTGTTTATTGTACATAACAAGAAATATTTTTAAGATATATTTTTGAAAACTCTCCTCAATGCATTTTAGGCAGCAACATTATTCTAACTTTTAACATTTTTAAGCCAACTTATATTTTAAGATATTTTAGACAATTTTTTTTTGCCATTTAAGAGTGACAAATTGATTCAAACATATTGTACATTCTTTAAAAAAACTCATACATTAATTAAATTAAATTCAAAAATGTACTAAGCATACAATAATTTGTTCCAAAAATACAAACAAATAAAACAAACATAAACTACTAAGTATGTCTAACCCTACGATTTCTCCTCCGCCTGTACTAAAATGAATTATGCGCATCGACCATTATACGAGGTCAATTGGGGACTGCTTTCCTAAAAAGAGTTCAACCTTTATGTCTAATCTCGCCATATCCACAATACACTAATAGATCGACAACACGTCATGAGTGTGGTTATCCCTAGCCTCTAGTATATCCTGATTAGATGGCATAGGTGGTTTTTCAGAAGTGTATGGTGTCATGATAGGATGTGACACCTTATATAACCATATGATGTAGTCATCTGTATAACCCCATTGCATATGAGTTAACACTCTGCGATAGTACTTTGGTATCATATGACTATTGAGAATTTAATTATGGCATCAAGATCTCTGTGGCAGATGATGAGAGGAGTAGACTCTGAGGGGTGTCTCAGAATAGCCAACATATATCAAAATTGGTGCATCACTCGCTTGGGAAGATACACATACATCATACCTAACCCACAAGCCATCCATATGTAGTATAACAAAATGACGTCTAGATGATGCATCTTGCGGTGACCTTCGTATGGGCAAAAGACAATGTCATCTGCTACATGACGATCAAGATACACCTAGAAGGGCTCGATCGCCTTATTTCCTCTGTACGGGGCAAAGGCGCAAGCACGTGGCCAATCCTCAATGTAGTCAGGCTCTGGCTCCCAACCGAATATGCAAGGAAAGTGAGATATGATCCATGCATGAAAATGGTTTAGATAAAATATTAGTAACAAATGTAACACAAGAGTTATGAAAATAACAGTAATACGTACACCAAATAGGTGGCCCCCTAGTTGTACTCATGAATTGCGTAAAGTGGGTAAAGTATTCAAGGTAGACCACATCAATGTAGGTTGCACTTTTGTCCACAAACATGGACGCGCCAACCAGAAACAAGAGGTAACACCTTAATGCACACTGTTAGTCGTACTTAACCTACATATCATCACCTTCGGCATCCACAAACATCGGCAGATGGTCTTTATAAAGTTCTTCCAAGAACCCAAATATAGCATGAGCACATTTGATGTCAATTAACTCATTCAAGGCATCACTTGGGTCAACTCTCAAATAAGTAACCTTCACCGCTGACTTTGTCTCGACTGATCTTGGACTGGTCCAGTCTGATGAGTAGGTTTAGGAGGCATGAGACGTCATCCAGGGTGATAGACATCTTTCTAATAGAAAGGTGGAAATATGACATCTCTGAGTGTCATCTTTCAGCAAATATCACATGTATGGCATGATTTATGGTCTTGTACGTAGATACGCATAAAACGACAAGCTCATAGTAGCGGCGAACATTCTTGAACCAATCATCTTTGGGCTTTTCGAAATCCAAAATCTTCCTTCTATGTTTTGCGGATTTTAAACATGAACGCTCGTGTAAAAATAAATATATCATCATTAGTCGCGATTTAATTAGTATAAAACAAATGTAATGCAAAAGTAAATAAATATAATTCTCCTTCCCAGACATGCTTAACTTCATGGTCTCCATAGAGATGAAGTAACGAGGTGTCATATGGGCCTCCTGGATAACTATCTATAGGGGCATATGAATCAATAGCTGGTTCTTCTTGATTAGCTTCATAAGCTTTAGGGACTTCATAAGAAGAGGACATATTGTAACATCCTAAACCCCAACTCTTAATATAAAAGAGAATTTTCACTAATTAGGATGCTACTCCAAACAAAACATGCACTTCATGAAAATTTTTCAAAAACTCGCAGCAGAAAACTCGAATAATATTCATAACATCAAATAATTAATTAAAACAATGACTCAATGAAAGTAAACTCCAAATGACAACTCAAAACAAAATAATGTGTCCTGTTCCCCATGTTATAGATTAAAGCATATAAAACCGACTAAAATAGCTATAAATATGAAATAAATGAAGAACTCCAAGCCTATCTTCCAACTCACAAGCAATTACTCCTTCTGAGTACCTGATTTTTTGTACTTCATAGAAGTACAACCACCACAACAACAAAAAAGGGTGAGAATACACCTTACAAATGATAACGGTGAAAAATAGCAAGAGGGTAGTAAATATCTATAATCACGAATACATCATTCATGCAAAACACAATCAAGACTCAAATAGTAATGCAAATGTTAATGCCACCAACTCCTTTATCAAAAATGCATATGGTACTGGTACATGATTTTTTGGGGTCAGAGGTATGCTATTGATTGCTCATGTCTCTGGTTCCTCTTGAATTATGTTCCTCTTTGGATGTGAGACCACCATAGACCCTCTCTAAACTAGGCCATCACTGGACCGAAGTCATACCTAACTCCAAAATATATACATGCATGATCCTGTATAAAAGCAAGCATACAACTCATCAATCATCAAAACATCATCATCACCATAAAAAACATCATCATAATCATCATTGTCATAAAAAAAAAGAACATCATCATCACATGGTTCCACTCTTGAACCAAAATATTATCAATCACAGGTCGTCATTGTATTTCCTTCGGGGTACTAATCTCAAAAATCGTCAATCACAGGTTGTCATTATAATCCTTTCATATTACTAATCTTCAAAAATACGGTTTTTAAATATATTTATTTTTCATCAAAAAGAGTAATGTTATCTTATTACTCAAAACTCCAACTCATCAAAAATTCTCAATATTTTATTATATTAGTCATAACTCATCGGAATCCTAAAAAAAACTCAAAAATAGTTCAATATCTCTCCGTTCTCAAAATGACTCTAGAGTGTCCCAAAAGTAGTATAAAAATATTCAAAAAGTGCTCTAAAAGTACTATAAAAGTTTCAAAAGTGCTCTAAAGGCAACTTTTCACAAGTGATAACTCTACTATGTTTAAGGGCTAGAAGTTTGACTCAAATGACTCATAAATGACCCTAAGGGTACCAAAAGGTCACTTACGTCAAAAATTGCTCAAAAAATCTCGAAATTTTATTATACTATTTATAACTCAAAAGAGTTCTAAAAAAAACTCAAGAACCGCTCACAACATCTCTCAACTCTCAAAATAATTTAAATAATTTCACGAAGTCCTCAAGTAAACAACTCACCAACAAAACTTGACAACTCTAGGGTGACCATTGAGTATTAAAAGTACTCGAAAATGCCCCACTGACAACTTTAATGTGTGATAACTCTATTGAACTCCTTAGAGACTGACAGTTTGACTCAAATAATAATAAAATTAAAACTCTAAAATAATAATGTTATCTCAATTTATTAAAAAGATTACAAACAACAAAATTGCTCGAATTTCGCCAAACAGACCCTCAAACTCAAAAACCACCGCCTGCCGCCCACAGTCTCTGTCGTACAGTCGTATAACGCATACCATACAACCCCAACCGTACGTACATCCCCTACTCAAAATCCAATTTTAAAAAAATTATGTTTTTTTTGACATTTGGAAAAATTTAGGGAAAACATATAGTGAGGTTTTTGAAAAAATTATGTTTTGTTGAATCTGAAAAAATTTGGAAAACAAATTAAGGTTTTGGAAAAGATGGAGAATACACATTGTAAGGTTTCTACATAATTTTTTTTTGGAAAAACACGATCAATTAGGGTCGCTCAAAAGTATAGACAAATCCCAAAACTCCAAAACATACACACAATTTCACAGTCATGTAGCTCTTTTGGTTACCATATGGGATTTATCCCAAATCCCCAATTGATTTTCAGAATAACTCAGACAAAACAATAAATTTCATCGATCACGCCAATAAGATTTTGTTCAAATCTTATTTGACTAAACAATTCATATATCGCAAGAAATAAGGGAACATTACATTATCTATGAAGCTGATGGTAGTGTAAGGAACTCTCACTGTCATGGCGGGCCATTTTCACCCCTAAATAAGGAAATTCTCCCTCCCCCTACCTCAAAATTGAAGTTTTCTCCTTCCCCCTACCTCAAAATTGAAGTTTTTTAGTCAAATCATCACGTTCTTATGATTGCTCTTCAACTCTACGTATTCGAAACCTTCAAATTGACAACTTCCAAATTTTCTATTTTTTTCTTCATGTTACCCTAGTTCTATCTGTCACTTTTAGA